GCATTACTTCATTTAGGATTAATAACACAAAAATACAGATATTTGCACAAAAAACCCCAAGCAAGTAAATCCAGTTATACTACTAGGGGCACCTTAAAATCTTCAAAATTCTTTCAAAAGAAGCTTTTTATGTGCTATGCTCTTTCCCATGGGTAAGTCCTATTTCTAATTAATACAAACACTTAAAAAAGAAGAATAGATTATGCTCATCACAAATTTCACGAAATTACTATATTCTAATTTAGAAGTGTCATTTATGACCCTGTAGTTTTAAATAGAATCGGGTTCTGCATGTAACTTTAGATCCAAACTCTGGTATAGAGGAAAAAAAAATTCCCCACACTATTTTATTTACCACTTAAGTATTAAATGAACTCTGAGAACTTGCAAGTAAAAGCTCATGCTAATTTTAAAATGGGTTTTCACTAAAATGTACCATTTTCCAAACATTTTAATTTTTGCTCTCTCTATGACCTTAGCAAGGAAACAAGACAGATTAACCAAACAGCTCAAACTGACTAAAACACTGTGGATAGCTTATAACAAGGTTTTTTTCATTTTTAATACTTCATAATCAAAAATGTGCTCCTGCAGCATTGTGCTTAAATTGCCATTCCAAAATTCATCCTCTCTCTGTCATCACTGAACTACAGTGTCGTGTTGCATTTGCAGCTAAAGTACCTACTTGGCTGTTGTCAGAAGGATTGCATGTTTATCTTCATAGGTTGACAAAATAAAGTATTATAATCTATAAACTCTCAGAATTAAAATTTAAGACCACCTGATAGGAAATCCAGATAATTAAGGTATTTAACTTGGCTATTCCTGGACTGTATCTTGAAGGCCTGTTTTTGCCAAACGTAAGCAGGATTAGGAAGGCACAATTGCAATTGGCCATGGATTCCATATCAGTTTTAACAAAAGCCTAAAACTGTTCTGGTCTCCATGGGTTTTGCAAAAAGCCTGGGTAATGAACATACTGAAAGTATGACTATACTATCAATATTAACAATACAGCAAGAGTTAAAGGATGTTTATTGTGTTGCAAGACTACCCAGTAATAACACTGAAGACCAGTTTGGAAAAGAACATAAATCTCATGCTTTGGGGTCTAAAGGTAGTCCATAACCATTTGGGAAGAAATTCTTTGAGAAGATTAAATTGCCAGTTCCTGGACCTTTTCAAGGGTACTCAGTTGCTGCCCACAGCAAAAGAAAATGTGTTAGAGTAGATTAATTGTATACCTGGTAAAGTACAACTGTTACTGTGCTCTTAACTGAGATCTTGATTTCAAAGTTATTAACCTCACGCTCTACAAATTCAATTCAACTCTATGATTGTTCTCCAAGAAAACCCCAAGTAGTTCTACATGGGAGACCTGTTTTCATGAGGAACAAATACTTCACATACCAAAAAAATGTTCATCTTCATTCTTACTCAGTTCTTCCCAATTGTGTCATCCCCTAACAAGCAACCTTCTGAAAAAGTAATAAAATCACTCTTTTCTCATTTTATGTTCCATTTGCTCAAAGTTCTAGTTAAATGATTTAAAACATCCTAACTGTGAGCTTCTCACTTCCTTTATTAATAGCAGATCTTTCTCCAGTGCCATATTTTAGTTTCTGGATGGTCTGGACAAACACAGGTGAGCCTAAAAATGCTCGCCAGAGAAAAAGAAACAGCACATATACAGAGGGAAAATACAAAGAACCAAACCCAAGGAAATTAAGTCTATCCCAATTAAAATTAACATAGACTTTAGTAGCATATTCTACTGGATCATGCCTAGTTTTAGGATGATGCTGCTATCTCACATATTCAATTCAAGTAATGTGAACTATAATCAATATTTTCATTATTTGCACTTGGATATCAAATCCCAAGAGCAGCCCCTAGATGCAGTCTAAACTGTACCTCAGCTTCCTGCTGTCACAAAATAGGTAAGACAATATTTCACATTGCTTGATACTTTGAAAATGGTGCCACTGATTTATTATTACATCTACCAACATATAAATTTATCATGCTTAAAACAGGACATAGCTATTTCATACAGAATAGTTTCAAGAATATTTCATTCTTTTAATATGGAAGATCACATTAATGATTTAAATATAAAGGCCAAAAGTAACTCATTGAGAGCATCTCAGTGTAAAATATTCAGTTTACTTCTGTTAAACTCTAATCTGTATCTCAAAAAGACACTGTGGTCATAACCAATCTAAAAATGCCACAAAATGGAGAGCTGGCTTTCAAGTGTGTTACAAATGAAAGCAGGAGTGTTGCCGTTCAAAACAGCATTCTGCTAGAGGATTGGATCTGTGTTTTCAGTCAAGCAGACCTCCCACTAACTTCAGAAAGGCAACTTATTTACATAAAAAAATGCAGGGAAAGGCCCTTTAATTCTTAAGTATGAGTCAGCTTTTATGTTTCCCTTCTAAACGAGGATTTTTATAACCAGCAAAGAACGGAAAACCAGTCTGAGGTGCTACTTAGGTTGTTAGCCCAGATGCCTCGACCCTGCAGATAACAAACCCAAATTGCCATTAGCTTTACCCAGTTCTGCGTGCAGCAGGATCACAGATCCTTGAATATGCAGCCCGTGTAACTTATGTAACTGAACATGCAAATACCCAACTGAAATACCAGAGGTGCTGCACAACAAAAGCTCAGGGAGGACGGAATTTGGGTTATGTGTGTGTGGTGTACTTTTAATCCGATGCAGACTGACTGAGGTACAAATTCTGGCAGGGCTCTGGCCCCTGGAGCAGGCAGGGGGAAGCTGTGCCTGCATCAGGCCCCACTGCCCCGGCTCCCTTGCAGCAGCACAGGGCCCTCCCAGCTCCTGGGGCTTCCTTCAGCCACGCTCCAGGTGCTCCTGAAGTGCGGCAGAGCTGCTGAGATGGAGCCCGTGGAATAAACACTGCGGAGTGTCGGGAGCACATGAGCACCCAGTGGCTTGGAAGTTTGCTTTGGGCATACCTTTGTATCTTGGAAAAAGGAACCTGGTATTTTGTGTACCACAGACTTCTGCATACATACATTCATATGTGAGTGACATACATTCATAAGCAAGCGCTGCTGCAAGCAACCAAAAGGTTTCCGACACAAATATTTACTTTGTTGAGAACATTTTAACCTGAGAGCTAAGACAGGCAAATATTAGCTACTGAAATCTTCTTCAAATGACATATGCCTTTACACATATTCCAAGTAGATCTATCAAGGACATAACAGTAACTGTCTTCAAGTAATATCAAAGCAAACAAGAGAAATAATGAAGACTAGGGAAAAAAAAATTCATTTCATCTTATGTTGCTTACTTTCACAAATATGCCATACAAAATAAGAATATATATCTCACTAAATACAGATCTTTGTCCTTATCACATGACTTAAACATGAAAAAACCATGCTGAGTTTTAGCCTTACCTAGAAATCTCTGAATAATGTACCTTGATTGTTTGTGTTATCTTTTTACTGACATGACAAAAACCAGAAATCACTCCAGAATATCTGGAGCTTCACAAAATGCTAAATTACTGTGTACCCAAGCAAAAGTAGTCAAATCCAAGCCTGGCAAGCAGGTATGATCCTAATGCACTCATCACTGACACTCTATTAAACTACAGAATCATTTGAGTCAAAAGGCTGGAACCTGTTGTGGTTCAGGATGACAAAGAACTATAAGAAAAAAAGAATTAGTATTTTGTAGAACCTATCTAAAGGTCTCTGAGTCTTTAAGCCATAGGGGCTCATTCTTTTCCCCTTGAACTCTGGAAGAGTTTTGACACCAGCTGTAGCTGCAAGCCAAACAGAATTAGAAACATGGTATCTGAGATCAGGGAAGCTGTGTGTTTCACAAGGACCAGATCTGCACACAAAATGTCTCATAGGCTTGTCTTGGTTATTTATATTTCTTTCTTCTTTCCAAACACAAAAAGTAATAATGATGTGCTGGAGTTGACTGTCACCTATATTTCAGATCAATTTGTATCTGTTTAATAAAAGTATACTTAATAGGTGAAGTCCATTTACTCCTAGTAATGCAAATTGCACTAATTAAAAATTCTGGTTTTGAAGCTTCTAATCAAAACAAATAAGCAAACAAAATTTCTAGTAAAGCCACCAGAATTCACATAAAACTGACAGGTAATAGTAGAAGACGATAATCTCCTTTCATATTTTGTCTTCACTACAAAAGTATGATTTTCATATTCCAGAGTTCATCAGAAGTACCAAATAGTTTGTTCTGTTTTACAGGTGCAAGTATTTAAAACCACCACTAAAAGCTTTGTTGCAGAAAACAGATACAAACCAAAATACATACAGGGATATCTTATACTTTCTACTCATAGAAAATTCCCACTTAAGGAAGTGATCAACACATTAAAAACCAGAACAGATTTGGCAACTTTTGGTATTTATGCTGTCCCACTAAGTTTGCTATCATGCAATCAGAAACTTCAGTACTAATGGTAAACAGCCACCTTGAATCTACATCCAGCTCCTCACAAATAATTAAGGTCCTGGGTTCAGTAGTCACTGCATTTTTTTTTATTTCTAGCTTGTGCCTTTTTCTTGAAATAGAGAAGGAAAAGCAGGGAGGATGAGAAGAGAGAGGAGGGGAAGTAGATGCATACAATCTTCAATTTCTAATGACTTGTAAATGTTATCGGTACTAGCACCAATTGATGTGCTTTCCTGTCCACAATCCTGTCAGTCGTTTGGGGTCCAAGTGTGAACTTGGAATTCAGCCCTGAGTGCTGAAATCAACATTTCTACGAATTTACTGACCACCCCAACTCTGCAGCAGGAAGAAAAAAGCATCCACTGGATCTCTGTCTTTTCATTCCAAAGTCCTTATACAACCACTGCAGTTCTCAAGTAAAACGCTTATTGGTATCATATTACTACCCCCCCCCCCCTCCCCACACACACACCCCCCCACCCAGGGTAGATTTTATTATTTCCATAGAAAATAAAAATACAGCTTTTACCTTACAGATCTGAAAATAATCTGAAGTGAGCGTCTCCTGGATCTCCTCTCTGGGTGTCCCTGCAGCTCCCGCAGTCCCTCCTGGGTGCACGGAGCCACCAGCCCCACTTCCACTGCCACCGCCACTGCTTCCAACAGGGGATGCGGCAGTTAAACCATCCAAAACTTTGCGAAAATTAAATTTCTTCATTTTGGAAAAATATTTAGGAAGATTTGAGGGGGGAGAAAGGATGTGTCGTAACACATTCAGCTACATGTAGCGACCGAGAAAGTCTTTAATGGTCCTCTGAGTGAGGCAGCACTTTAAGTCTCTTGTACCAAACAGAATGTCAATATTAGGTATAATTGATCGAAAAATACAAAGGCTTCATTTTGTCAGACGCAAAAGCTACCTGGGATGGTCCTTTCCAAAAATAAATAAATAAATAAATAATCCACAAGCAGCAGGACTAAGATTTACGTTCAAACAAGGAACAATGGAACAACCGCCATCGGGTTCGCTCGCAAAATCCACATTTAGCAGTGGTCAAAACAGAAAAGTAAATAAAAAATTCAAGCCGGCATCCAAAACAGTGGGATCCATCCCTCTACCTTATCTGCCTAAGATCTGCCTTCGGCACTTGATTATTTCAGCAAAACTACCAAAATGCGTCTACATTCAATTGCCCCTTCCCCTCAGAACCCCTTGGAGCCAGGGGTATCTCTGCCCCCGAGGTTTCCGCGGAGCGGATTCCCCGCTCCCAGACGCGGGTGCGACTCCTGTTCTCGGTTCCCTGCCCACCCCAGCAAATGCCGGCAGCCGCTGCCGCACTCGGCGCTCCTGTCTCTCCCCTCGGGCTCCACAGCGGGCTGCGAGGTGCGGGCTGCGAGCCCCCTCGCTCTCCTCGCCGCCCCGGCCGCCGCTCCGTGAGGAGCGACGGCAGCGAGCGACCCCCTTAAGCCAGTCCGGCCGTCCCGGGCTGACCACCCGTCCCGTCCCTGCACTGACGGACCCCCGCCCGTCCCGATCACCGAGCCTGTGCCGCTGCCGTGCTCTCCCCCGGAACCGCTTCGGCGGGACCGGGCTCCCTCGGGCGCCGGGGGGGACGCGGGGCGGGGAGGGGCAGGTGAGGAGCGGGGCAGGTGAGCGGGCAGCGGAGGGTGGTGGTGGCGGCTCCTGCCCGCCCGGCGCGCTCGCAGCCGTTCTCCGAGGTACTGAAAGCTCCGCCGGAGTCAGCCGCAGCTCCTCCTCCTCGCCTTCCTCCTCCTCCTCTCTTTCCCTGCCTCCCGCCCCCGTCCGCCAGGCCCCGCCTGCCGCAGCAGCGCGCAGTCCGCGCCCCGCCTCCGCTGCCGGCTGGGCTGTGGGCGGGGGGGAGGGCGGGGAGACGTTAGTGATTGACAGGCACGCGCGCGTTCCTATCCCTTGCTGCGGGCCGGCCGCGGGAACGTGACTGGCGGGCAGGGCAGAAGGGGCGGCTCCAGACAGGGAACAAGAGATGTTTGACGGCCCCCGAGATCCGCAGCCTCTGATTGGAGCGCTGTGAGGATGGGCGCCCACTCTTACCAATAGAGACGCAGTTCCGCGACGCCCGGCCCCCCAGCCCGGCGGGATGGGCGGGGCCAGGGGAGCCCCCGCCCCACTGCGGCGAGAGCGGCAGCGGCCGCGGAGCTGCTGAGGGGAGCAGCGCCGGGGCAGCGGGGCTGGAAGGGAACAGGGTTTATGGCGGTGGGGGGAACTGAAAGTTGGTGTCGCAGTTTCAGCTGCGTGCGGGACGTCGAACAGACCCAAAATTCGGCATAAAGTTGTGTCGGGGAGACTTGGGTTGGATATTAGGAAATGGTTCTTTCACCCCGAGGGTGGTTGGGCACTGGAACAGGCTCCGCAGGGAAGTGATCATAGCACCCAAGCTGACAGAGTTCAAGAAGTGTTTGGACAATTTCCTCAGGCACATGGTGTGACTAATGGGGATGGTCCTGTGCAGGGCAGGAGATGGACTCAGTGATCCTTGCGGGTCGCTGCCATCCCAGGATATTCTGTGGTTCTGTGCAAATGCCACGGGAGGTGACGCTCTCGGCGGTGTCAGGAGCGGTCCTGAGAGGAGCCCCCATTGCTCGCAGCGGCTCGGAGGGGTCTGTGTGGGTCGGTGCTCAGCCCTCACACTGACATTGCCTCCTCGGGGGCAAATCCCTTTTTCCTTCCCGGGAGGACTACAAAGGACCCAGGGCTGCCCTTCCCGAGGCTCGCTCCGAAGCCGTGCAAATCGCTGGGGACAGCTCTGTGGCCTCTGAAGCGCGATCCGGCACAGGAGGTGTTACACTGCACACAAGCCTCTATAAAAAGGTTATTCAGGTCAGGAACAAATGAGGCAGCGATTAAAAGTGACTCATGGCACAGCGCTGTCAACGTGGTTGGAAGCCGAGAACTGAATAAAATGGTGTAAGGAATAAGCACATAGCACCTCTCCTGGATAGGAATTAATCTGTAACACCTCACCAAAGTGTTGTACTTTCTTCACACTTGAGGTGACCAATGAGTGCACACTGGTCACCTAATTTTTCACGTTTTAGGGGTGCTTAGTGTAGTTCTGATACCCACTCTAACCCCAAATTTGGTTTTTAATCAAATATAATACTACAGTTCCATGAATCCTAGTTTTTATTTCATTATCTTACACTGAGATTTATGCTCTTTTTTTTTACACTTTAGCTTATCCCTTTGTGTTCACAGGTACTCCCCATCTCCATGATAAAAAGATTGCAGTGAAGTTCAAAGAATAAGTGTAGCTTCACTTAATGCCCTCATGAAAAATAAAGGGTACATTGCTGATGAAACTGGAAAGGTTGATAGGTTTCTGTAGCCAGGAAAAAATGGACAAAACTTTGTATGGGAAACAAAATATATGAGGACTATGGCAAGGAGACAGAAATGAAAAAGGGAATGGAACTGAGTAAGCAAATCTGTAAAGATAAAAGTACAGAGTTTTGAAGAATGAGGAAAAGTCAAAACCCAGTTGAAGCTATTTGAAGAATGTCATGTCCTACTAATACTATGTTCACCAGAGGGAATGCAAGTTAAAAAAAAAGAAATTTGGGCTTTGTTAGCTTTTCTTTTTTTTAACTTGCATTCCCTCTGGTGAACAAATTGTAAATAGGAAAGGGAAAGATAAGGTTAAAAAATGAAATAATTAAGATGAAGAAAATATCACAGAGACTTACAAAAAGTCTGTCTGGGAGTCAGAGGGTACTAGAGGAAGAAAATCTGATAACATAATAATTTTACAGTTCTAGGGAAGACAGAGATAAGACAGTTTGTTTTAAGTCAAGAAAAGGATGAAAATTAGAAGAATGAATTATAACTTTGGAGTTGGAATAAGGTGCAGACATTTTTTGAATACCAACAACATTTCTCTTCCAGAGAATCGCTATGGAAAGCGGGTTATTGATGATTAGATACTACCTCAGAGTATCCAAAAGGGTGAGCAAGGATCCTTACACTGCCAGTGTGCTGTTAGGAAAACTGACTTGTAGGGAAAAAAACCAAAACAAAAACAAACTGACCAATAAAATACAATCAGTCCTGTTTATAAACAACTGTCAGAAAAACTTGGTCTCACTACTGGTGCATGTAAAGCATGTATGTTCCTTTTGAAAGTTTTTCTCTAAGCTGGACACAAATCCAGAAGCAGAGAGGAAGTGATGGAAATGAGAGTTGTGGGATGGTGCAGAGGGAGACAAGACAATGCAGGACATAGGCAAACTCAGTTTTGACAGGCGCAGAAAGAAGCCCCGTTGAATGACCACATTGCTGAGAAGTTTTGTTGTATAACAAAAACAAAAAGGGGAACGATTTGGTTTTGACACAGTAAAAAAACCTATTGCTTCTTTTTTTTTTTTTCAGTGGAGAAACAAGCAGTAGATATGAGGCATTCTGTTGCTGGCTTGTACTGGTTTAGATGATATTGGTGTTTCATAGGATACTTGTGAGATTGCCACCACAATCTTACAGTTTTAATAAAAGTTGATAAAATTAGGAAAATTTGGAAAGATTTTAGATATTAAATTGATACATAAATGAAGTTAAATCATTCATGCCAGTGCATTGTGGGAAATATATCCGGATCTGTATTTTAGATAGAAATGAGAGGGTATTCTCCTCGGTGTTTTTGGGTTTTTTTAATAGTATCTTTTACATTTAGTAGTCATCTTGTTCTGCAAGGTCAAACAGAAACCAAATGTTAAAAGGATAACAGTTTACTACAAAGATTTTGCTGAGAAAGAGGATCTTTAACAGTCCACACCATCAAAATTCATATGAACTTTCATTCTGATTTTTGCTTAAGGAAGCTTGTGATTATGTGCAGTAATATAAAAAGATTGGTCACAATAAAACCTGGCAAAGGAGAGAGATATTAATTCAGTGTTCTCTCAATCTGATTCAAGAACTTATCAAGAAAATGAAGAATCGGGAAAGATGTGCTTAGATCAGCTGACCAGAAAGTGACAATATTAGAGATTGGATATGTTTTGATCATTAATGTTCTGGTCAGTTCTCTGACTTTCTTGTTTAATTTTTTTTTAATAGCAAATCCTACTTTAGACCGTGGACCAGAGTTTCCTGACTTCAAAGCTGCAAACATACTTTAATCTCAGTTTATATTTTTGGTAGTTTAAAAAAAAATACATGCAGAACTGTGCAATAAGTGATGGTTTCACATTTGACACTTTTTAAGTGATTCATGTGATTCCCTTTGATAATCCATGTGTCAGCAGTTAAAAGCAATGACCCTTGAGAGAAATCACTGTATGCCCACCAGCAGCGGACTGGACCACTGCCTTGCAACTACACCCTGGCAAAGAACTTCAGTGCTTTTAGAGAAACTAAGGAAAAAGATGTAATCAAATCCCAGAAACACATCTATGCCAGTGCAGGCAAAACTGTGACTTTGCACAGCTACCTATTCCTCATTGCACTGTGGGACATTTGCCAGTGTTATCCATGTTTCTGTGTAATTCCAGAACATCGAATGGCAGCAAGCATAGTGTTCCTGCCTGCAGAGCTCCACTAAAAATATCCCCAGTCAGTGCTGAATATCTGGTTAGAACAGCTTGCTGAACTCTATCAATTAGCTAGATCTTAATCTATTTAATGTGTTTTATTAAGGCCATATAATGCTAATGTTTTAATCAAAATGTCAAGCAGTACTAAATCAG